ACTTGGGTAGCCCCTTTTGTTAATTCTCATATCACCACATCAGTGATGCCAGATTTTTTCGAGGTAGAGGTATCCAATATGAGTACCCCGATACGATGGCGATACCTAATGAATTAATGAATCATTTTTTTTTTGTCACTTTAGAGCCATGAGTAGAGAACCTTTTCATTTCATACCAGTAGATTGTAATTTATTTGATTTTTTTATTAAAATTTCTATCAATAAAAGTTCAATTGAAACAAACAAAAGATTCAGAATATTATTTGGCAAATGTCCGAGATAATATAAAACAATTATGGTATTATGTCACCTGTTTCTACACATTCAGGTTGAATGCTAGTGGCAAGCATCATCTGTTGGTTTTCTGTGTGATAACAGATGATCTGCCAATAACGAAGTAGCATAGAGACGAACCAACCCACGGCTAAAAGTCGTTATAATAAAGAAAACTGATCTAATCTAACGAAGAAGCAACAGCGGGTGGTCAATCATGTGCTTATATCCGAGATAATTTAAAAGCAATTCTGACTTGCTTGTTTAAAAATGCAGAAGACCAGATCTGCCCATAAACGAAGAAACGGCTATTATGCCACCCATGTCAAATCACCAAAAACTGCATCACGTGGCAGGTATAATCTGTATCCATGACCGTGTGGTAAAATATTGCTGATAACTGAATTTTGGAGGCTACGGATTGAAAATTGGAAATAGCTTATATGCCATATAAATAAAAAATAATTGTCTAATATCCGCTTTTCGAGAGCAAATGTTTAGAAATTTTTAAACACAATGGCATCACTTTCAACGATAATTATCATAGCTGCATTTACGATATTTTCGTAATTCTATTGATTTATGGCATAAAACATTGTGTTTTGTGTTTGGCATATAAGCCAAATTTTATTTTTATGATCAATTTATTAAATCTACATTGTGATGAATTTTCTTATATGGTAAGCGTGCCAGTTATAACATTAGTGCTCCAGTTTTTAACCCCTAAGGCATGATTAAAATATTAAATAAATTTTCATGGATTTATTTGCGTGTATGTATGGAAACATCTACATTCTAACGTTGTATTGTTTGTTCTATCTATGTTCTTACGTTGTTCCCTACCTTCAATACATGACCAGTAACAACTTTTGTAGACTCCTACTACTCTTAAATTATTACATTCAAAAACTCTCAAAACCAACAGTTTTTAATCTTTTTAAAATTCTAGTGTTAATTAAGATGCAAAACTTCAGGAATTGTTCAAAGATATCGAAATTTGATTAATAGATGAGGCTTACAGATAGGCAAAAACATTTTAATTTTCGTGTTCATTCTAGTGGCATCTTCAACGAATCACCTTAAGGTCAAAGAAATTAAGCGGCAAGGCCACTGGACTCATGAGGCTTATCTGGAGGTTTCTAATGTATTGCAATTTAAGGCAATCGGAGGCCTTATGACGAATGTTTTTGCTTACTTTGCAGAATAGAGTAGGTTCAGTTTCAGGCTTCTTCACAATATACACACTACAAAAAAGTCATGTAAATTTCAGTTTCCTGAGACCGACACATGGAAGCGGCTTTTTGACACTAAAATCAGTTGAAAGAAACAAGAAAATCAAATCACTCAAACGTTCTCTTCGTCGAGCTGCTTATATTTAGATTTGAGTACACTCAATTTTACATGAAATGATTATTTACTTTCCATAATTTACGCCCAATATGGATTACGTCTCGTGTAAAAGTAGTTATTTCTAAGTTCTCTAAGCTTTCATCCTCGTCGCAGGGTTACAATGATAATAGCTACAACGCGATAAGTGATGTGTTGTAATGTGACTGTTTTTGCTTACTGAGTGTTGGTGGGTTCAGGTTCCTTCACATTATAATTATTACGACCGTAAATGTCGTATCGATTTCATTATAAACATGAGCACATCTCTTGGGTTTCGACTTGGGGATTATTCAGCGTATCGTATACTTTAAAGTCTGTTCCATTTAGTATTTGGCCGCACAAAATAGGTCATTTCTCCAAGGGTAAATATATTGTAAAAAAACGCTAAAGGTATTAGTTTTGTAGGATTTTTATTTAGCTTTAAGTAAATAATACAAGAAAAAATATTCGTCGGCTTTTTCGGATGAATTTTCGAACTCTTCGCGGAATACCTCTTGCACAGTATTACTGTCAACCTCATATACCATCCTTTTCCACAACTTCTCCAAATCAGATGGTGTTTTGATTGTTTATTCAATTTGCGCTTGATTATGGCAAAAAATTCAATGGGACGAAAATCTGGCCAATTTGGTGGATTGATGCTTTTCACAATAAAATCGAAATTATTTTGCTTATACCATTCTATGACATCGCGGCTTTAATGGCAGATGGCTAAGTCAAGCCAGAACGTTACGGGACTTTCTTGTGATTAAATGAACGGTAAAATTATGTTCTGGAGACACTCCTCCTTGTAAAGTTGTCCGTTCATAGTCGCTCCAGTGATGAAAATCTTTGTTTTCTTTCCGCAACTGCACATGCCTTGCCAAATCATCAACTTGCGAGCGAATTTATCTGCAAAGACAAATTTGAATGTATCCAGAGCATCCCCCTTACGTTTAGCAAAGTAAAATTTGTGGCCTGGGATTTGTCCAAAGTCCATTTTTACGTAAGTTTCATCGTCCATCAAAATTTGAGAGTGCAGATCACGTTCAATCTTCAATAACTTTTGAACAAGTATATAAATCCTGATGAATTTTCAATACTAAATAAACAATCCTTCCGGATCAAAACGCTGTCAATAGTTTCTTGCTACGACAATTAGAGGCGCTACAGTAATTAAAAAGAAGCGGCCGAATTCTAACTGGAACAGACTTTACATAAACGATAAAAACTTCTTAAAATATAAATTCCCTACTGTTGGTGCCGTTGAAATTTCATCAGATATAGAACAAACTATGATGAAACATTAATCACCAGTACCAGAAACCAGTTACCAATAGTATCACTCATAACAACTACCCTTGACGTTCCCTAACTGAGAAATGTAGACTTTTCACCTATCGAACAGCATTGTTAACTGAAATGCATTTCATATTTCAAACCAGATGTCTACCCGAGCAAAGAATGAAAACTAAGTTTGATATTTTGATATAAGCGTTCGTGATAACATATGTTGCCTACCGTGTGGACAAGTTAACAGTAATCATAACAAAAATGAGATCTAAATGGTATATGAAGGATATTAAAAAGATAACAAATTATGTTTTCTTGATAACAAATCCATGTATGCGTTTTGATATTAGTAATTGTGTTAAAACTAAACAAAATAAGTAATCAATATGTTATTACAAATATGGTAGGAAAACAAAAAAGTAAAAAAAAAAAACTAAATTAGTTATTATTTTGATATCATGACATCAAATTTAGTAATCTGAATGTTTTGAAATCTTTTGGTTGATATCAAGTTTCAAAATCAAAAAAATGTTGTCAATCAAGTGCGAATGGTGCCATATTAAAGTACAGAACTGGAAATAATCACCCAGTGGGACAAATTACAAGAATCGCTTTTATCATTATAGACAAATAACAAAAGTTAAAATTGAACGACGATTGAAGTTTATTAGATCCAATAGCATAGAAAAAGACGATGAGAAGTTTTTAAATTTAGAGTTTCGTTTTAATGACAAATGCTAGTGGAATTATATTCAATATAGAAATAAGACACATGAATCATGAAAAAAATTAGTCTACGATGGCCCTTATATTACTGTGAATGATAAATTCCTTCGCATCGAACATATTTTATCAGACGACGATAATGACGATATTTATATTGTTGGGAGAGAACTGAAAGTTAATGAGATTTATGACAACAAGTTTAATTATGAGCTAAGAAACCGACTAAACCTACGAAAATTAAATTACAATATTCAACAATGTATTAGTATAAGTATTACAGACGAACAGGACGAAATCAATTTTATATCGATTTATAAATTCAATGCACAGGTAGATTAACATCAATAAATGTTGTTAAACAACACTGTAAAATTTTCATTATGCCATAATTGTCTTTGTGATGTTCATAAAGGAACCTGATTGACTTGTTCGAAAAAAAATGTAGATTTCAGTGATAAATGTGGATGCGTTTTTTTCATTTAAAATTACAAATTATGTTTTTAACTTTATTTTTTAGAAATATCAAAATAATATCAAATTATGAATTCAACCGAAATAAAAAAAAATAGCATATCAAAATATTTTGTCAACATGATTTCAAAAACAAAATTAGACATCATTTTGATAGTGTTTTGATATCCGACTTTGCTCGGGTAATGCGTTATGTATCAGTGTACAATCAAGTCCTTTTGGCTGATAAATGTCTTTTAACTGAAAATTTGTGGTAATACAAATTGTATGGAAAATGGATTTCGTCAATATTGAGCCTCATACTACTGGACCTTATCCTATGTATCAGGGATTTTTACTTTATTATTTTAACGACTTTGAAGTCAATTATTAACTGATTTTTTGGAAAAGTTATAGGATACTGACTGGAAAAGTTGGTTACTTGAAACCTAATTTAAGAAAGTAAATTTCTGGAGCAAATATTTAGAAAGACATGTAAAAAATCACACCGCAAATTTCTGTAGGATGAAATCAAATCCCTAAATCAGTAGATATTTAACAATTCCGTAAAACTACGATTTTTTCCCGTATGAATGGCATCTCTGCATTCACCCGTCATTATTTTCCCTACAATGAAGAAACAATCACGAGTGTTATAAAGTGCGTATCAGAATAATAGAACCAGCTGAAATGAAATCATTTTTAATTGATATCACATTTACATGTTTTGCAAGAAATCTTGATGTTTTGAGTTTTACATGAAATGTACGTAAATAACTATTTCCACGTATCTTGAAGAATCCCCACAAAAATTGGGAGAAAAATATAACATCTATAAAGGTTGCCACATAAATTTTAAACAATGAAAAACAGAAAGAAAAATGTCCTACCTGTATTTCCAATCCAGCTTGCTTTTGTGCAAATACAGCGACAATATTGGCACGTCCGAAATTTCCGTCTCATGACCTCCCGCTTCTAGCAGTAACACCTTCCAGTCGCCAATCTCCGATAACCTCGAAGCCACCACGGCTCCAGCGGACCCTGCTCCAACAACGATGAAATCATACTCTCGATCCACCTCCTTCACATTGAACGGTCGATTCTCGGGATCGAACAGGTCATAGTTGTAGTACGCTAACGATGCAATCAGTATCGGTATGATCGCCAACTTTCCCACCCCTATTATCGCGGTAGCAGTCTTAACAGCAGCCGCAACAGTTGCCGTAACTGCAGCTACGGCCGGGACAGCCTTCAAAGCTGTTCCCCCTAGTAAGGGAACAAGCTTAATGAATGGGATCCCTGGTATCACCATGATTTCTTTTTACGAATAGACTTTTGCACTGTAAGAAACTCTAAGTTATCCGACACGCCACACTCCAATCAAACGTTGCTTATCTTAAGCAACTTGTTCAACTCATAACAAAAGATTCACTATAATCTCTTCCATGCCATCGCTGATCTTCTTGGAGCTCGAGGAATTCCTAAAAGGAACAGCTGCTGTCAAATGCTGAACTCGTTTGCCTATATCACACTGGCAACCAATCCAAAAAATAGCACCGTTCACTCAATAGGCCACTTTCGCAAATCATCAACCATGCAGTCAAGCGTGGATCTTTGGTAAAGATTGCTGCGAAAATTATGCAACCGATTCACCACACGATTTCCAGAGGCACATGTATAAGCGCGCGCGACCGCGAATCCAATCGAACGTACATACAACTCGACGTTCGGAATATGAATGAAGTTGCAAGGAGCATCAAAACCTAGATCGTGGCTCAACACCAGTTCAGCTGTTAACACTTTTCTGTTGCACTCCAACCGCCGCAGCGGAGAGTGAACTAAACTTGAGCAAACGGTCTGGAGAGTGTGTTGAAGTTTTTTTTTTGGGGAGAGCATTAGAAAGATAGTTGATTCATTTCATTCTCAGAGAAAACTGGCAAAACAAAAACAACTATGAATAACATAGACGTAGCAAGTCCGGGCAGAAGGGGGACTGCCTTAACTCAGCAACATTAAAGCGGTCAGCCAATTCGCGTTCGGTTTTTGACATTCGGCTAGATCCTCCATAGTAAAAAAATCACACCCCCCCTCCCTATTTATAAACCTAAATACACCTTTGTTAGATTATCTGGTATAGTTCGTCTCGCAAAAGTATTCTGGTTGTATTTTGTACTACGTTACCTGTACTGCACCTTAAAATATTTCATCAACCAAAGAGTGTGTGTATGAAGAAATACAGACTGTTAACTCTTGACAAGCACAGCAACAATGTTTACTGATCAATTGGTATACTTAACTAATATATTATCAACATGCCGGTCGATCACGGTGCGGTGCATGGTCAAGTGTCACAAAGTCACCTGCTCCCTCATAATCACCACCTCTGCAAACTATTGATCGGGCATGCGATTAAAAAATCCGCATCCGATTCAACGAGTCACAACAACACCTACCTTTTGTAGGATTATGCAAACAAAAATTGCATGTACAAGAAAATTGCATAGCTTTATCAATTCCATGGACCGAGTGCATCGAGCAAAGAGGCCTTATGGTAAGCATCACTGGCCAGTAAATATGGCTCTATTCGATTAGTGCACGGTACATATCACGATTGAACGCTGCTGGCTAGTTGAATTTCTTGTGGGTTGCGAACAGGGTTTACTGCTACGTGACCTTTGGTTTTGCTAAGCAGTAGTTATTAAGTTGACTTTGATACAGACTGAAGGCTTGACTTTATTTATTCGATATAACATGGTCGCACTTGAGATAATTTTAGTGTTTATACCTTCTGTTGTATTTGTATTGTTTTATCCTTAATTGGCATTGGTTGACATTCATTAGGTTTATTGTTTTATTTAAATTAATTTATTTGTACAGGCTCAATTGAATAAACTTGACAGAGCTAAGTTATTATTTGCGTTATACATAATTAATGTTTTAAATCTAGAGTTAAAGGAATGAAACCGAATACTTGCTGTCGATTTAAGATACAAATATTTAATTATTCCTCAAACATGAACTTATTTTTATTCAACTTGATATCAGCAGTTTTATTTATACAATTATTAAAAACAAACATTTAAAAAAAAAACTCACTCACACAAAATACAAACTAAACACATGTTAATCAAAATACAATCAAAGGTTAATTTTCTTCAAGAAACATATATGAGTTTCATAAACTCCAGATCGCGTCTCCAGATATTCCTAACTGGTACATTTGGTTGTCTATCTCGAGCCCGACGGGAATCTTCGACACCTTAGGGATGATCGAATATAGTCATAATCCCAAATTCCTTTCACTCCATTTATTCTGCCAGTTGGCGAGTGACTGTTGACGATAATTGAAGAAAAAATCATTTTAGGCCATTTATGGTTTGTAAATATCACCACCTTTGCCCCGAATCGAGCAATGAGATGGGACCTATGCAAAGATGAAGACATAAGATCTTTAAGATAAAGCATTTAGAAGTTCTCGTTATTCATGAGCAAATACGAGGAGTAAAAATGAAATAGTAATCCATTGGAAGTGAGGCGATAGTTTGTAGCGTTGAATATTGCAGCCAGCTCAGCAACATATACGGAACAAGGAGCTTGAAGCAATCGAGAGGCGGTCGCCTCTATTAGTGATCCATCTGCGAAGAACGATCTTGAGGAATCAACTTGGCCAAATTTTGCAGAGTAAATTGAGGGAGCAATCATGGAGCGATGATGCTCGGGGATCTCATGAATCTCCCGCGTCATGGATAAATCCAATTAAACAGAATTGCCGAAGTCGGAGAAGCAAACACGATTGGGATTATGCTGCGAAGGACTGATATCCTGTGTTATGTACACGTAGTACAATGACATAAAACAAGTTTGAGGGCTTAGCTCAGGAAGATTCTCAAAGTTTGCAATCACCAGTACAGTGGATTCATAATTGCACACCTGAGGGACAAATTCGAAAACAGATCAAGGAGTGCATGCATCCTAACGCGATACGAAGATAGCGATATACCGTTCCAGTTTGATGATGTGAGTTAGCCGGCGCCGGTGGTGTAGTGGTAAGCGTGACTGCTTTCTCACCCCAATGGGTCTGGGTTCAATCCCAGTCGAGGTCGGTGGGATTTTTCTGAGGCTTAAAAATCTCTGGTCACGTCTTCCTTCGGAAGGGAAGTAAAGCCGTTGGTCCCGGCCCATGTGTGTTGATGAATGGGTGCGATATCCTACGCAGGTGTGGAAGCTGCCTTCCTGCACATTTGATTGTCGTCAATGGATGGCAATCGATGTCCGTCGGTGATTGGCACTAGATTGTGGAACAGAGACCGACGTTGAATAAAGGAAAGAAGATGATGATGTGAGTGTTAGCTGCCGACTGAAAAAAAAAAAACTGCCGTACTCTAAAACCGATAAAATCGCAAAATTAGATCCATTGTTTACAAATTTGACAGTTTGCTTGTTTGATGTCAATAGTGATTCTCAAAATTATTGCTACGCTTTCAGATTCGATGCTGCATCATTAAAATACAACATAAAACAACATTTTTATTCATAAATTATGAGAAGTGTCAAGTGTCCATATTTTCTACTTTTCACCTACTTTCGCCTACTCTAAAACTGATAAAACCGTTGTCTGGAGAAAATTGATCCTTTGTTGGCATTTCCGTCTCAGATACTCAATGTGGGATCTCCAGGTGCATTTGGTATCGAACCAGACCCCAAGATATTTGAAAAACATATAATGAGTGATCGGTTTACGCAAAAGTTGAAGCTTCGGCTATGCTTCCTTGCAGGTCGACACCTTTTTGCCCTGTGACAGACGCAACGCCGTCATCTGAAAGTTGCAAGTTCTCTGACATAGAAATTATACATATGGGGGCTTAAACATGAGCCCTGGGGAGACCCATGTAGCTAAATCAAAAAGTTGTAGAGTTTCCAAGAGAAAAGCTCATATGTTTATTTGACAGCAAATTATGCAAAAAGTTATTGAGAGAAAGGCCACAAGCGTGAAGTTTGTGGCTGAAGGACTTCAACCTAAACTGAATCAAAAGTTCCCTTGATATCCAAGAAACGCGAGACAGTCGTTCGTTCCGTTATCCCTACGAAAACCAAATTGCGTATCTGAGAGTACGTGCTTCGTTTCACCCCATTTGTCTAGGCGAAAAAAGATCTTTTTTCCAACAATTTTCGTATGCACGACAACATCGGGATGGGATGATACGAGTTATGATCTGACGCGGGTTTTCCAGGCTTTTAATGGCTTTAACTTATAGTACATTCTCCTCCAATCATCCGGGAAAATATTATGCTCCAGGAACTAACCAAACAATTTCAACATGCGCCTCTTATCGACATATTCGAGGTTCTTCAACAAGATGAATTTAATCCTATCATTCCTCGGAATCGAATTGCCACAAGAAAGGAACGCGAGTGAGAGCTCCAGTATTGAAAAAAGCCGGTTGATCACATCTACCGAATTAATCGTTTCTTAAGAATCCAACGATCCGAGTACTCCTCGCTGAATTGTTTGAATACCGGTTACACATCATTCGCGTCGCGTTCCAAAGCTTCTCCATCGACGCGCGATAATCCATCCACAAATTGCCGACAGTATTCGCGTTTCTTGGCTTTGATGAGGCTCTTGAGCTCGCGTGCAAGAGCCGAGTACGCTTCGTAATGCACGGGTGTTCCACGTTTTTGAAAAAAAAAAACTCAAACGCTTCGGACTTTTTACGATAAATCTCAGTGCGAAAACAAACAAAAAATACGGACGAATTGAAACAGATTTGGACCTGTTTCATGCAACCGTAAGGTGTATGCTGGTCACAAATGCCTTGCAAAATTCATTTCCTACACAAGTGATCAATCTTTGATGTGAATTTCACGAGTAAACACGAGAAGGGTTGATTATAGCACAAAACATGCCATATACATCCGTCATAGTTCATTTTAGTAAACATACTAACACTTCTTCCTTGGGTGCTCACACTCGATGATGATGATACGTGAGCAGGTATGCGTGACCACGCAACCATGATGCGCAAATTGGTTTTCAAATGGCCAATCGCACAGATTTATCTTTTCTTCCGACGATGCCACACTCTCTTCTCAGAACAAAAAAAACAACTTACTTTTCGATTAATTTGCCGGGAACTATGCCAAAAATCACTAATCGAGAAAAAAAATTGAATTACATTTGTGCTATTGATTTTTGAGTTGCTAGCTAGCTGCACTCCTCAAGTGGCTTGAATCATATTTAACTGACCGCCATCAAATAGTAAAATACAAAGGAAAGATATCAAATCCCGTTGATGTCACTTCAGGAGTTCCTCAAGGCTCCCATTTAGGACCACTTTTATTTATTATCCTCGTCAATGACATATCTTTCATTATTAAGAAATTGAAAGTTTTAATCTATGCTGACGACATTAAACTTTTTTTGGAAATAAAAGATGCCAAAGACATCATCACATTCAAAGAGGAAATTCAAATATTCCATACTTGGTGTCAAAAAAGCCTGCTACAATTAAATATAAAAAAATGTAACTCCATTACCATTAGTAAAAAACAAAAGCTACCCGATATAACAGTCACTTTAGGAAACCAGATCGTAGAAAAGTGTGATAGAGTCAGGGATCTAGGTGTTATTTTGGACTCAAAACTTACTTTCACCGATCATTATAACACAATTATTAACAGAGCTAACAACATGCTTGGTTTCATAAAACGTATCTGCTATAACTTTCACGATCCGTATACGATAAAAACATTGTACATTGCTTATGTAAGGTCGATATTAGAATATTGCAGCATAGTTTGGTCTCCTTTTTCAATCACACACGAAGAAAGAATAGAGTCCGTTCAAAAGCAGTTTCTATTGTATGCTCTCCG